TATCATGTGATTATTCTGACTCATGCATTATGTAAAAGCATGATTTTACTGTTGTAGTTGGTAGAGGTGGAGTTCATTTTGAACCATTAACGAATGATTATTTTAATTATGGGTTAATCTGCTGATTATTTTCTCCACTAAATGATTGTTTAATTTATAAAAATTCTGCAAATAATGAAAAATCACATCACAATGACTCAGAGCCCAAAGTGACACCTCCCCAATGTCTGTTCTGTCAAACCAACAGCCCAAACATCAGCATTATTAAAAATGCATTGAAATTATTAAATAATAAAAAGAAAAAGCAGTGAAATTCCTCCCATTTGTGAAGCTGGAATCATGACATGTTTTCCCATAAAAAATGACTTAAATCTTTATTTTCTGTCAGTTCACTAATTCACTCATAGTTCCAGCTGTATGTAGCTAGTATGTTGTCACAGGTTTGCAAAAATCTAAATTTGTAAAGAGACTAATAACTTAAGTTGTCAGATAAAGTTCGTGGCATGAGAAGAAATTACATAGATTTATACTTTTAGTACCATAGTTAATGTATTAAGTTGCACTTTACCACTGTCTTTATGAGTTTTTCAAGTATGACTTGACCTCCAACTTCCTTCACCTGAGCAATGACTTGATTTGCTTGCTTCTCACCATGACTTGAGACTTGCTTGAGACTTGAAGGCTACGACCATAGACTGATTGAACCACATTACGTGTACTAAAGAATAAGTAGATCAATGGGGAAAAAAAGAGATTTGTAAAGTTTTTAATAATTTTCCTTAATGTCTTTGTTTCTTGTAGACACCCCTGTGTAGGCTATATAGTTTTGTCCTGTTTTTTGTTTGTTTGTTTTTCCAATTGTGTGTTTTGTTTGAAGACAGTTGTATGGCTTCATTATAATACAATAAAAGAATACATCCAGAACAACAAAATGTTTCTAAACACAAACATCAAAGAGAGCACATATCAATTGTTTTATCAGCCTACTTTTTATTTGAAGAGGAAATTGTGTCAATGTGCTGTTTGATTCCACCTATGAGTGACAAAAATAGGGGTTTTTGAATTATTATATATTTAAATTTGTGGATATAATATTTTATTAGTATTACTGGCACAGACTGTCCCGTGTTTACTTTTTATATATTTGAGATGCTGCGTCCCCTCCTTGATGTAGGGGAGGAGTTATTGGTGGTTTTTGACCTTATAGCCTACAGTAAATAAAGATTTGGTGACATTTTCATTAAAGTTGCATCTCTTGTTGCTTGTTTTTATCAAAAATGTTGAAACCAAACAGTAAATTTTCAAAAAATATTTTCAAATCACAGTGTGTTTAATATGCTTCATATCTCAACCATAATAATATGGTTGATATCTGCATATGATTCTGCACAAGGACAACTGCAAATAAAGAGTTATAGTTTTGAAAGAGCGTATAATTTTGAAAGGAACTTACTGTACCTTATTGGCCAGAAAACATTTCAATAGAGATATTGAAACCCCTATCATTAATAAGGCAATCTTAATATTTATTCAGCCTGCATAAAATGTAATTTTAATTTCTTAAATAAGAGTGTCTCTCCCCCAAATCTCAAAACTAGAGGGCTAAAACTCAAATCTGTGATGTCATAGGGTATAAATCCTGTGGCTGCTCCACAGACAATGAATGGTGGAACATGTTCTACAGCCATGGCCAAAAGTTTTGAGAATTACACTAGTATTGGTTTTTACAAAGTTTGCTGCTTCAAGTGTTTTTAGATCTTTTTGTCAGATGTTACTATAATATACTGAAGTATAATTACAAGCATTTCATAAGGGTCAAAGGCTTTTATTGACAATTACAGTAAGTTTATGCAAAGAGTCAATATTTGCAATGTTGACCCTTCTTTTTCAAGACCTCTGCAATTCGCCCTGGCATGCTGTCAATTAACTTCTGGGCCACATCCTGACTGATGGTAGCCCATTCTTGCATAATCAATGCTTGGAGTTTGTCAGAATTTGTGGGTTTTTGTTTGTCCACCCGCCTCTTGAGGATTGACCACAAGTTCTCAATGGGATTAAGGTCTGGGGAGTTTCCTGGCCATGGACCCAAAATTTCGATGTTTTGTTCCCCGAGCCACGTAGTTATCACTTTTGCCTTATGGCAAGGCACTCCATCATGCTGGAAAAGGCATTGTTCGTCACCAAACTGTTCTTGGATGGTTGGGAGAAGTTGCTCTCGGAGGATGTTTTGGTACCATTCTTTATTCATGGCTGTGTTCTTAGGCAAAATTGTGAGTGAGCCCAGTCCCTTGGCTGAAAAGCAACCCCACACATGGATGGTCTCAGGATGCTTTACTGTTGGCATGACACAGGACTGATGGTAGCGCTCACCTTTTCTTCTCCGGACAAGCTTTTTTCCAGAAGCCCCAAACAATCGGAAAGGGGATTCATCAGAGAAAATGACTTTACCCCAGTCCTCAGCAGTCCAATCCCTGTACTTTTTGCAGAATATCAGTCTGTCCCTGATGTTTTTCCTGGAGAGAAGTGGCTTCTTTGCTGCCCTTCTTGACACCAGGCCATCCTCCAAAAGTCTTCGCCTCACTGTGCGTGCAGATGCACTCACACCTGCCTGCTGCCATTCCTGAGCAAGCTCTGCACTGGTGGTGCCCCGATCCCGCAGCTGAATCAACTTTAGGAGACGGTCCTGGCGTTTGCTGGACTTTCTTGGGCGCCCTGAAGTCTTCTTCACAACAATTGAACCTCTCTCCTTGAAGTTCTTGATGATTCGATAAATGGTTGATTTAGGTGCAATCTTAGTATCAGCAATATCCTTGCCCGTAAAGCCCTTTTTGTACAAAGCAATGATGGCTGCACGTGTTTCCTTGCAGGTAATCATGGTTAACAGAGGAAGAACTATGATTTCAAGCACCACCCTCTTTTAAAGCTTCCAGTCTGTTATTCTAACTCAATCAGCATGACAAAGTGATCTCCACCTTGTCCTCATCAGCACTCTCACCTGTGTTAACAAGAGAATCACTGGCTACGGTTACATGATGGCTTCTCATTCGGAATGAAATAAATCTGAATGAAATCATTCGGAATTAAAGTCTTTCCAGGTAGTTTACATGGGAAATATTCATTCCGAATGAGGGTTTACATGGGAGATGAGTTCAATCGCCTTTATTCAGGTCTGTGCAAGGTTTGGGCCAGGGCATGTTTCTGATTGGATAGGGGGCGGGGCGGATGTTACGTGTTTACGTTTACTGGAAGAAAACACTGTAGTCCTCGCTCCGGATAACAAGATGCTTGACGACGCCGTTCTTAGTGCCTTTTTCAGGCGTGTTTTGCTTATATTCTTGAAGCAGCAGTACGACAACAACCTTGTTCTGCTAATGCTTCATCTGTTGAGGAGGAGGAGAAGGGAGATAGAAGACCGTGCTGTGGTGAATGGAAACTGGTGAGTGCAACGAGTCCGACTGCTCTACCTCAGCCGCGCTATATACGTCATCGCGCCAGAAGGGCAAGGAAACGAGCATGCGCAGAAAGACCGGAATGAACTTAAAGAGGAATGAGTGTATACATGCACACAAAATTCTTTCATTCAGAATGACGAACGGAATAAACCACCCCCTTTAATCGGATTTAATTTTCAATCGGAATGACCATTTTTCATTCAGAATGACCGTTTACATGACCACTTTTAATCGGAATGGCCTTTCATTCCGATTAAAAGTGGAATTAAACTGTGCATGTAAACGTACTGACTGACATGATGTCAGCTGGTCCTTCTGTGGCAGGACTGAAATGCATTGGAAATGTTTTTGGGGGGATTAAGTTCATTTTCATGGCAAAGAGGGACTTTGCAATTAATTGCAATTCATCTGATCACTCTTCATAACATTCTGGAGTACATGCAAATTGCCATCATAAAAAATGAGGCAGTAGACTTTATGAAAATTAATATTTGTGTGATTCTCAAAACTTTTGGCCACGGCTGTAGATGACACTGAAAGCACCCAGGGGAATGTTCTGAATATATGGGAACATTTTCTGTTTCAGAACTGTGAACATGACAAATGAATAAAGCTTATTCAGGTATATATTAAAAAAAAAGTAACATACTGTGGGTCCAGAATGACTCCAAGTCATTCTCTATGGAGCAGCTTCAGACTTCATACCATATGACATCACAAGTTCGAGACTTAGGCACAGTTTTTTATTTATCAGAGGAGAGGATGGCTTGGTTGTTACTTTGTTTTTTGTCTTGCTTTTTTTGTTGTTTTATACCCTCACTGAAGCAACAAAGTACTTTCCCTTGAGACTCCCTGAGTGACTGGCGGGAAATTAATTTTTTAGATTTTTAAAATGTACCCTTTAATGTTTAAAAGTTCAAAGTTGAGTTCAAAATGCTGGAGTTGACAAAAGCCTGGGTTTTTCCACTCTTGTCGCGCAAACGTTTTAGTTTGGGCCAAATTTTAAGTGAGACATAGAATAAAGTGATTGTGATGAGATATCACTATTTTTAGCTCAGATTTGGTTATTTTTTTTCTGAAAGAGGTGTTCCTGACATGTGTCCAACAATAATTTATGTTTTCACAGTTTCTGGCTTTCATAAGTGGTTTAGTTTGGGCAATTTGTTTCCTTTTTATTTCAATCTGTGGTGAAATAAGAAGCCTACAAAATAGGCCTACAACCATTTAAATTTGTATGCTTGTCCCCTAAGCCAAAATATAGCCAATAGTCCTTCCCTTGTGCAATTATTTGACATGCCCCTCTTTTTTCTCTCTAAGTCCCTTACTAGTCTGGTTTCTGATTTTTGAGAGAGTAGATTAAGTTCACAAATATGACTGAACTTTCCTCTGCCATGGAAACAGCATGGCTCTTAATTAGTAATGGATTAATCGGGGGCATAATTCGCCTGTAATACCAGCAGATGGCATCGCGAGGTTTCCTCGAGCTCTTGCTCTGCTGTCGACTACTTTTGCCTGCATTGAGGCAGACAGTAGTAGTTGCTGTACAAATACAGTCATCAGTCTGATGTGGGACTTCCTGGTCAGGCAGTGCTTGTCCCAAGAATCAGTCAACGCAGTTTGACAGACTTCATTCCACCCAGCCAATACGCAACCCAGTCATCGAGTTTCAACGTTATTTCGACTGTGTTCCTCCGCAGTGGTCACCAGAGAGGGGATCCACTGACGTTAACGTCACTCCCCATCAAAGTTAGCTAGTAAGCTAACGCTAACGTAAGGGCTCTGTTGTGGTCTAGCCATGTCCGCTTCGGCTGGATGCTCCCCGGTGGGTCAAAGCACGGGCCTTGGCCCCGGTATGTCCATGTTTCGCTGGTTAGAAGTGCTGGAGAAAGAATTTGACAAGGCCTTCGTGGACGTGGATCTGCTGCTCGGAGAAATAGACCCGGATCAAGTGGATATAACGTACGAGGGTCGGCAGAAGATGACCAGCCTCAGCTCCTGTTTCGCTCAGCTCTGTCACAAAACCCAGACGGTTTTCCAACTGAACCATAAACTAGAGGTTAGTAACTTGTGTGATGCACGATTAACGTTACACCTCAGATTTCCTTGTAAGTAAGGGTAACGCTCGTCATCGTTCAGACTTCCCTCCCGACACAGAAAACTGGTTGATGTCGTGTTGTTCCTGTCTTTGGGTATGCCATTTATGTCATTCTGACTAGTGATGTGTCGCTGCTGCTCGACCGGTATATGGCACATAAAAACATTGCTCTATTTCAGTGTAAATACTGGGGGTGTGCATCACCAGAGGCAACACGATATAATATTATCACTCGATACTTAAATCACGATACAATATTATTTCAAAATTAAACAGTTTGCCATATCCTGAGTATTGCAATAACATATTGCAATTTATTGTCTTATTGTCAACTGCAAACCATGTCCCCTAAGGAAAACTTTGTCAACGTCGGGTTTATGTCATAAGATAAAGTTATCTGTGTTTATCTGACTTAAGTCTTTTTTTTTTTGCTGCAGAATGTATGCAATGAGGTGACAGTGTATTGATATTATTATTTCATATATTTCATACTATTATTTCAGTACCTTGAAAAATATCTGTATTTGATACCAATTTATACCACAGAGAATAATTAGACATTTAGAGCATACATGGTCAATTTTTATTAAAAGATAAATATAACAAGGCTTTGAAATGACCATGACAGCTTTTCTTGTCTTGATTAGTAGCAGAGAACAGCAAAATGACTGTAGTAAACATTAACAATAAGAGACAGTGAGAAGACACAGCTGGTACCGGTGTTTAGATAGTAGGGAAAAAAATGACTTTCAAACTGTTTCAGTTATTCAGAATGGATATCAATGCATCATTTTGACGATACAACTACATTTGAGTTACAGAGTTGCATTACAGGGCAAACTAGCATTCAGCTTAAAAAAAACAAAAAACAAAACAACTCATTCCAAACATTTAAAAAAGACGGTTATTTAACAACATTACTGCGGTTCTGGGGATTTCTAAAACACCTCAAAACTCTTCCAAATATCTGGATGAAAAACATAATCTGTCACTACAGAAACCTGCCTCCCAATTTGTTCCTCTGTTTCCTAATTCAAACAGGGATGGTCAGCAGAAACAGTATATCTATGCTCATTGTGTACAATATAAACTAACATTTTCAAATTTATTGAAAGTTATATTTGTGTATTTTGATGTTTCTTTTCAATATTTTATGTTTTCATATAAAACAATATCTTCATATTTTGCCTGTGTTGTACCAAAAGAACAAGAAGATACAGATGGGAGACAAATTAAAGGAAAAACCAGAACAGATAATTGAGATGATAGGATGATAGTGCTCCCCTCCACTGGGCATGAGGGCTCACTGAATGGTTTTAAGGAGTATGAAAATGATGTGAATCATATGCCATGGCCTCCTCTGTCACTAGATTTCAATCCGTACATCCAAAATCTCCTTCAGCAGCCAAGCAGCATATAGGAATCAATCAACACACTTGAAGTAAGAACCGCCCTGTTAGAGCCTTTTAAGTCCTGAGTACTTGTGAAGCACTAAATATGAAAGCAAGCAAGGAAATGAATAGCACTGCAGCCATGTGTTTGCACAAGCCGATTGTAAAAGAAATGTTTCAATTGATTTTTTTCTGTGGTTTAATATTTTTGTGCAGAATTTGGATCCCAGTCACCCCAATTTTTTTGCCATAGATGCTCATCCTTTACAACCTGCAGTATTTCATATGTAGCCTACATTTGCTGTGTGCTTTATTTTCACTTGTTCAAATTTGTGTTTATACCATTTAAAAAAACAGTAATAGAAGTATTCAAGTAATTATTTTTGAGGAATATCATCCCAATTTCATATGAATGTTAAGTGAAGAGAGTTGTGTAATTTTTATCACGATACAATATTATTGTGATATTGTGATATGCTGAGTATTGCGATAACATATATTGTAATATATTGCAATTTATTATTTTTTCTTTTTTTTTGCAACTGCAAATATATTCCCAAGGGAAAACTTTGTCAACATCAGTTTTACCTCATAAGATAAAGTTAAAGTCTATTTATCTGACTTTAACCATTTTTATTGCAGCAAAATGTGATGCAAAGCAGACAGACTGACCAGCCTGTCACAAATGCTGCATTCACCTGACAGTCTGAACTGTTGGCAGATTTGACACCCTCTGCTAGGCCAGATTAAGCGCATGAGCTAAACGCCTCACATGCAGGTATCCGGCTTACTGGATGGCCACCCCCATGTTAGAAGTGTTGTCTGCTAAAACCGTATGGTTTTCGTCAGCAATCCCCCATTTTCGTCTGCACTGTTTGCTCCAGTTTGACTTTAGTGTACTGCTCTAGGTTGGAGAATGTGAGACAGCAGTCGCCAGATAATGGTACTGCTGTGTCGGTGGACAACGTCAGGACGGAGTCACATACCTGGGTTCCAGTGTTTTTAGCATGTAACAAAAGCCTTATGGTGTGTCTCAAATCACATACTTCCGTTAGTACACTTCCATGTAGTATACTATGTGCACTATGTATTTATTGGCGTAGTGCGCAAGTTTCAACAGGGTAGGGCTGTTGTGCACTTACCGGAAATGACGACTGCAAATTAGCTAGTTAGCAAACTAGCATTAGCGTTATCGTTCGCGGTACCAAATCATTACAGACTGCTAAATTAACCCAATAAACATACTGCTGGCTTATATCCAACAACAGTATAGTGGTGCTTAGTGCAAAAAACACATGTATAACTTACATTTGTACAATGCAGCGACATTCACGGTCGCACAGTCCTCGGCCGTCATTTCCAGTTTGAAAAGTGGTCCCTCCCCTTCCGCTATGTAGCCAAGATGGCGACCATTGATGGCTAGAAGTGTCCATAGTTCCACACTCAACTTCTTGACCGTTTTGAGTGCACCATCCGGGTACTCATAGTGCACTGCATTTTTCCATACTTCTCAGTGTGAACGCACTTATGCAGTCAAAATATTAAGTGTAAGTACAGAAGTATGCGATTTGAGACACAGCATTAGTTTTCAACAACGCTGTATGGATGCAGATCTTTGCACATGAAGTAGGTGATGGACTGTGTTATTTTCTTAGCTCTGTCAGAGTTGGATTGTAGTTTTGTCAAGCTAAGTGTGTCCAATGCTGGTCGATTGTTCAGTGGAGTGTGAGCCCTCATGTTCGTAGTATTCCCAGAGTATTTTATTCTCATATGACTGAGACCTCTGCTGACCATACTTGGATAAAAACCTCAGCACCATCTACTGGACCAAAAAGCAATGGATTTTTATTATTCTAGTACCAAAAGTTAGTAATGTGATTTCCAAAAATTAGTAATGTAAAAGATTGATACTTGGCCACTGTGTATCGATAAAATATCGCCACGCAAAATATTGTGATACTATGCTGTATCGATTTTTTTCCCCCCACCTCTAGCAGACAGTGTGGTGAGAAAGCACACATTGCATTCATATTCCAGGAAAAACTATGCATGGTTTTCTAGAGCAGGCCCAGGGTGTATAAAAAGATGGAGATGGAAATTAAAGTGAGGGACAGAATTTAGTAATGAAACATTGTTTGTTTAGGTTTTTTGCCAAATTTAAATTTAATGAATTAGTTTTATTTTTGCAGTCAAAGCAGCAATCTGTAAAGTGCCCATCAAAGGCATAGTTATAAACTTGATTTTAGTCTTAGTCATGCTGCCTTCCAGTCAGAGTCAGAAGTTGGAATTTCCCAGTTGAAATGTCCAATTTCCGATCTCCAAGAGTTCCAGGTGCACAGTGCCAGTGTAAACACAAAACATGGCTGACTATCACAAACTGATGTTGATGTTGCAATGGAATACACAGCTGAGGGGTATTCCAGGTAGGAGGTTCAACAATCTCTGAGTCTAACCCTGAACTCTGAGTTGATTTACCCTGAGATGGGAAACTCTGAGTTTCCGGTTCCAGAACAGCTTTTCTGAGTTAGTTCAGTCAACTCTGAGTATGTTCACTCTGAGTTAAGCCGACAATAAAAAGCCATCATCAATGGAGCTCCGACTCCACGATTCACCATGGCAACAGGTAAATAAAAGACAGCGCGAAGTGTGCCAGTTGACTTTTTCCACATAGAATTCAATCAATCAGTTTTATTTATAAAGCTCAATATCACAAATCACAATTTGCCTCAGAGGGCTTTACAGCATACGACATCCCTCTGTCCTTAGGATCCTTGCAGCGGATAAAGAAGAACTTCCCCCAAAAACCCTTTAACAGGGGGAAAAATTGGTAGAAACCTCAGGAAGAGCAACTGAGGAGGGATCCCTCTTCCAGGACAGACAGATGTGCAATAGAGGTCGTACAGAACAAATCAACATGATAAATTAACAGTAATCCGTATTAGAGTTGTACCGATACCCGATACTGCCTAAAATGCGGTATCGGGTATTGGCGAGTACAGCCTATGACCAATCCGATACCACGTAATGCTTCACGTCATTACGCATACGCACGCTACAGGCAAATGAAACGGAAACGGAGCGGAGTATAAAAAGCATTCTACTGTAGTCTTTAAAATGTCTTTTTTACCAAATTGTGTGGCTGCACTTTAACCTGTGTCTTGATTTGTATCAACACTGGATAATAATAATAAAAATTTTTTTATGGCATTCATTCTGCTATTATGTATTTATTTCTTAATATTTTGCATAGAGTTTTAGGAGTTGAGACATTCAACAATTCAAATCCCATCCATTTTTGTTTGACGCGCTGGTATTGGATCGGTACTCAGTATGGGCAGATACCTAAGGTCCAGGGATCGGAATCGGTATCGGGAAGGAAAAAGTGGTATTGGTACATCTCTAATCTGTATGACACGGATGAGACAGAAAGAGAGACAGAGACAGAGACAGATGCAGGACAGATGGTAATGATAATAGCTTACAACAACATTAATTTAAGTAATAATATTATAATAATAATTATGGCTATTGTGGTACAATATGTTGAAAGTATATATTAATATCTGATAG